CCCCAAAACCCCAAAACCCCAAAACCCCACCACGAATTAGAAAGATTGGCGAACTAGAGTCCTCAAAAACACTCAATAATTCAGAATTCATCCTTCTCTAGTTTACAGGCTTTGTGTTCTGGACTGTCCCAACTGGACTTAATGTGTTTCCTAAAGTTGTCTTTGAAGCTTACCTTCGATTGTCTCAGGGCCATCAACTCCCGAAGGGGCTGGAACTGCTATCTGAGGTTGCACCACATAGGAATGATTTGACATCGACGGAATCTGAGATTGATATGAGCTGTGGAAAGTTGGTTGTCACTATTAAGCATGCATCGAGATAGTCAACCAGATCAGAAAGCATGAACATGGATTTGGCAGTCAGTCCTGGGAAACATGCTATACTACGGGTTGCTACAGCTCACAAAGAAAACTTAAACAGGGACCATTCCAGGATCCATGTACTGTAGAGAGGGATAAAGAGGCTGAGGAAGAGCTACAGATTCAGAGAACTAGTGCGAATTTGGTAGGATATGTTCATTAAACTGCTGAGTTGACTTGAAGATTGCTGTTCTGGTAGAATTGAAGGCTTGATTCAGTGCGATTTTGCATTAGGAGAAGCCATGTTGTTTTAATGCACTCGTGCTCTCAGATATTGATTGATATTATTGGTGTGGCTAACCTAGAGGATTATCAACTTGGTTCCCAACTCTATTCGGCTTAACATATTTATCAAGGTTTGAAGAATTAAATGGACTACTTTAGCATTGGCAATATTAGCTTTTGCACTTTTGTTTCATATAAATTCAACACACACTTATGCAGGTCAAGAACCCCACTTCAAGCACAGCACCTAACACTGTTCCGACAATAGTCCTGTAAGCGATGCATTTATAAAGTATGACTCAACACTCTTACGAAACTGAGGTATCGCTAGCCTGGACATCAATGCTCAAACACAAAATGCTAGCCTACCAATTGCGTTGTAGTACGAAGAAGGCTTGACCACAATGTAAACGTCATTGTCTTCGTCTCAGGCCACTCTCTTGTCATCGTACTCATTCATGTTTCCTTTGTACTCGTACTCATTCTTGCAGCCAATTTTATATATTGAGAAAGAGCCTTGGTCTTTTTGTGGTCTGTTTTTAGATCAAGACCAATGGATCAAAATTGTTTTACGATTTTTCATCTTAATAAGCAGAATGCTCAGCCTCACAAACTACAGAGCCATTAGCATATTGATAAAATGCAAGTGGGTTGTTGGCAATCCACCCATTCCAGTGAAATATGACAAAACCTCTTAAAAACCTTCAGTTTAAGGAGGCAGATGCCTTGTCTCTGCTTCAACCATTAATTCTTGCCTCTTGGTCCTGTGAAGATAATATTGGTTCAGCTTGAGTTGACTCCAAGGTTTAGATCTTGAAAGTATATTATTTAAGGCTATATTTGAGATCGAATGAGTTTGATACCAATAAGAGTCAGGACCATCATTTCACTTTCTGCTTATTATATTGACTATAATATTGGAACCACTCAAGTCATCTAGATTTAAGGTTGTCACATCCAGCATTTTGATGTGTAGCTTTGAAATTTTCAGCGAAATTGGGTCAGAATTGATGAAATAATTACTATTTTGTAGGTTAGATAAAGAAATCAGAAGTTTACTAAAATGCATTGGACTATATTTCTCACAATAGACCAAAACTATCACTAAATTCAGAGCTATGAATAAGATTGCATCAATATTTTAAATCAGTGTTATCTAAGTTAGGTGAAAAACTTGAGTTTTTAAATACTTTGAATAATCTCTGCCATAAAATTCAGAAGATGACGGATTGAAACGTTTCAGTGAATATGAGCAAATAATAATATCTTTACTGCAACAAAACTGAAAGGAATAGATTAAGGCCACCTTTTGTGATAAAAGCCATATTATTCTAATAGTGTAGCAAGATTTTGTAATCAGAAATACACGAAATTCAAAATCACCAAAAACAGAGAAAATCAAAGCTCATACTGATCTCGATTTCAACACTCTTCACTAAACCTGAGGTGGTATATAGTCTGTAAGGGCACACAGAGATGCTTCCAATATAACTCTCTGTAATATTTTCATAGTCTCTAGCTGATGTGAGCGATCTATCTCTAATGCAGCAATCATATGCTTCAGTTGGACACAGAATTAGTCCACCATTACACTGAAATTTAATATTATCAATCTTGTTAGAGCTAGAAGGGGTTTTGGGGTTTTGGGGTTTTGGGGTTTTGGGG